CTTATTTTATTTTTTTATTTTTTCTCTCTTGGCGGTCAACTATGACGGTGACTTTTTTTTTTCTTAAATCCTCATTTTTATTTTTCTTTTTTTCGTTGTCGTCTGACATTGTTTGTAGTTGTCACATTTGGGTTACATTTCGTATTTTTTATTTTCGTTTTTCTGTTAGCTTTTTCATGTGCTGATGGACATTTTCTTTCTGAAGTTGTTACTGCTTTTTTTCTTCTCCAGTCTCCTAGTCTTGTTTTCTCTTGCTACCATTCATATAACTAGTGGTTTTTCAAACTTGCTGCGGATAATAGGTGGTGGTGGTGATGGTTATTACGATGTGACTTAACAACTTGGTGTTTCTGCTTTTTTGTGTACTTTCTCTCTTTTTTAGTTGTCTAGTTGTTTTTCGTTGACACCTAATGGTTCTCCATCAGTTCAGGCAGAATTAGGAGTTAGGGGAAAAGGCAAGTGGAAGATAAGTCGGCTGTTGTTATTGAAAAGTGAAAAAAGACGTTTATTTTGTTTTACTATGTTGTTATTTGCTTTGATTTTTTCACGGACAGAATGAGTAGCGCTGAGTCAAGTATTTTGCTGCGGTGTTATTGCAAGAGTTTAGATGCCCGTAAAATGTAGTATCCAGTATTGTTTACTAGAGGGGTGTTGTTCAGGGCGGAATTAATCTTTTTTTTTTTGATTGGAAGTTTTTGGACAGTTTCTCGTTTTTCATTTCCTTCCTCGTCATCATATCTTTAATTTTGTTCTGATTCGCAGTTTCAGTTGGAACAGAACTGTTGATAAAAGACTGCTAAAAAGAGTTTCGTGTACAATGATACAGTGCAAAGTAAGTGGTTGCTCGTTCCCAATCATTGTGTGATGTAAATGGTTATTGTTCTGGCTTTATGAAGTATTTAATTGAGCGCGAAGGAGCAGAGAAAACAAAAAAAATTTTTTTTTTGCATCAGCGTTACTGAATAGTTCTAATGCCTCTCAAAAAAAAAAAAAAAAGGAAGTTTAATGCTATTTTTTTACGCCGCCTTTTACTGGATTGTTTTTTGTTTACGTTGGTTTTTATACATAGCAGCGCGTTCGATGTAAATGGAGGGCAGTTGAGATAACAGCTTTTTGACTGGCTGAATGTTGCCGTAGCCGTCCCTATGCAATTTTTTCGTTTGTATTTGTGAGATTGTGTATAACGCTGTTCTCAATTGGACTGGTGGTTATTGGTTATACCTAAAGTAACCGTAGTTGTTTGTTCATTTGTGCGCGTGCGTTTATATGTATATATATGTTTCTTTAGCAGATGTATTTCAATCTCTTCTAGTGTTTGAGAAATGTTTGTGTGCAGGGTCTAACTTTGTTCTTGTTTCATTTTTTTTTTTTTTTTTTTTTTTTTTT